AAAAAACAACTGCATTTGTGTGAAGTCTGCTGTTAACCTGCATAGCAAAAAGAAAACATTACAAAAAACAGTTGAATATTGGGTGTGAAAAGCGTATTTGTCATCGCATATTTCTTCCCCAAACCTTGAACGGGACCTTACGCATATAGTTTTGTGCAAAAGCCTTGATGCACCACTCAATTCTTTACATTTTGTTAAGAAAATGTGAAACAGCTGCAGTGATTTATTGAAATGTGTGCAAAGATACATGGAAATATCAACACATAAGGCAAAAACAGAGTTTTTGAAATTCCCAGCAGCATATTTGATATGACTCTCTTTCTTGTAATTTCTTTAAATAATCTTCTCTAATAGTTCTTCAGGTTTTTTTTGAAGGACAAATGTTGGCTGCCTTTTGTTCCCACATTGATGATCCCATATTGCTTCAGTGATGTTGAGATCCGGGATCTAGGGAGGCCTGTCCATGACTGATAGCATTCAACTGTGTGTTGTTCTGTCCCAGTATGCCTTTACTGCTCAAAAACGAAGCTGTTGCCAATCAGACACTTTCCAGATGAAGTAGTACATGATTGTAGTACTTTTCTTTATTCTTAACTCATAATTCCACCAGTTTTAACAAGGACAGCATCAAGCAATGCAATTGTACCTCTATCCTGACCTCCATTAAGTATTGATAATGAAGTTTCAATTTTGGATTATGTCTCCTTAAAACCCATTGCCAGTCCTTTAAATCGACTTCTTTACAGCCACCCTGTTTCTACTAGTGAGCGTAAGTAAGTGCCTGAAGATACAATTTAAAATGAGTTATTTGCTAAGCAATGTCTGTTATGTGTAGACAAAACACTAATTGATCCCTTGAGTTTTGGTGCCTTTTTGTTTCTTTATCTCTGATTCATAGGTCAGTGTTGGGTGGCTTAACAAACCAAAAAACAGAATTTGTCAGAAAATTGCCAATTACAAGGATGGGACTGAAAATGAGTGAACAAGCAGCCAATGTCCAGAAAAAAATTGGAAATACATTTTGAAACCCGGTTGCTCAAGAAAACTTAAAGAAGTGGAAACAAAATATAAAGAAATGAGGAGTGTTTTGTAAAGCTACTGTAAGAACATCTATGAATTAAAATGTAGAGATCTGGAATTGGTCCCGTGTAACTCAGACTCCTCTCATGGAGTTTTATGTATATTTGTATCATATGTCCAGGTCTTCATCAGGCAAAGGAAATGATCACAGCGATTGACCCAACTTAAAAACAATATATAGATTTTGATGTTTCATTCTATTTATTTATGAAAAACTTAATGTGTGGTTTAAAGTTTTAAACAGAGATTTTCTTTAGTGAGCCTTTCTGATTAGAAGATACATATCGCTGTTGAGAGAAAAGGTTTTCATTGCGCGTATTTTTTTCCACAAAAACACAACATCATGGGGCCAGATATATAAAACTAAATACTCATGACTAAAGCTGTTTGTATGCACAAAGGAAGGTTAGGGAAAATGTGCACATTCTTTTTTTTGTCAAATATATAAAACTGTGTTGTTGTTGTTTTTCTTTCTCTTTTTTTGGTTTATTAAAGCTCAATTTTTGCCATTCCTATTCTTACCAATTAGTGGAAGTACACACTCCCTTGTTATGGTATCATTATAACATGAGCAAACAAGAACCACAGCTTCACTCAGTATATAACTGGGAAGGTTATTGGAGAGCGGGAGAAAGGGAAATGTGTAATTGTTGATCTCAGGTTCATGATCAGGAGAAAAACTAGTAAGGAAAGAAGCAGTGGAGGCTACTAACTATATAAATTCAAAGAAAAACACCAATGCAGAAATGCTGTACTACAAGGGCATCAGTTCTTGCAAGAAAAACACATTTATATGCA